TGATAAATTTACAGCTTAAACTAGGCTCCACCTTGTTTAATTATAGACTTGTAGTTTGATACAAGACAAGACAAAATTGTATTAGTAGAGGAAAATAGCTATCAAAAAAAAGATAATAGCAATGGTGCCGGCTTGAGAAATTTAATATTAATGGTGTATTGGCTTTTAGGAGCAGAAAAGGAAGTGAAGAGTAATGATGCGGGGTCCAGTTTCAATGAACACGTTAAAAAATCCAAAAATAAAATAAAAACAAATTAGAAAGATGATAATTAACTTGCATGCATGTAAGTTGTAACCTACGCATTCCAGAGATGATTTGAAATTGTTTTCTTGCGTTTGCCGTTACATATGTATTTATTATTTGGTTTTACATTGTCAGAGATAGAATCGAGAGATGATGATTGCACTTTCCTGCTTTGCACCAACTCTAACATTTGCACTGTGACGTCTTCACAGTTTTATTTTCGTTTGTGATGATATTATTATTATTATTATTAGATATATGCTCAATTCATTGCAGTATTGTACGTATTTTCTTAGTATCATACTCTCCTTCTCCACTTAACTTGAAGTGAACTGGAAATATGTACATAGTATTCTCTATGTCTCAAATATAATTCGTTTTCAATATTTTAAAAAGTAATAAATAAATTTTATAGTACTATTATTATTTCCCTCAGTAATAATATTTTTTGCATTCTTTGGAATTCGCATTATTGTTATTTTTTAATAATTAAGGATGGCAACACCTCTGAGGTTGCAGATGTTGCGTTAAGCGTTGGTTACTTGGCAAAATGGGAATACATGCCCCACTTTTCTTTTATGCAGGGAAACAAATACTGCATGTAAATCTTGAGGAGCACCAAAGTCTAAAACGATTCTGATTTATGTATGTCCTTTTTCTTTTTTAAGATTAAAAATTTAGGTTTCAGATATACATTATTGACTAACATCCCCCACATAGTTTTTGAAGCTGACATTAAACATCCAGATTCATTATTGCCTTGATCATCACACCCACTTGCATCTTTAATTTCTTGTGTATGAACTTCAAAAACCCAGTTTTCTAAAACAAACCAAAGCCACCTTTTGGTTCTGTGTTTCTGGCTTTAGTTCAAGATTGGCTGGCTTAGAATCATGAAACTAACTTTTTGGACAATGAGAGGCTCGATTTGCATTTGTTTCAAGGTTTTGAATTAGGAAACTAACTTTTCAATAGTGTTCGGCGTTGACATTGTGAATCTAATATGTTATTTATGCATACATATGTATCTTCTCATTTCAATAAAAAAATTATTTTTCATCAGTATTGACCTATTAATGTTATAAATCGAATCTATGTAAGTAAATTCTCTTTGAAGATAACATAAATTATTTTATAATTTAAGGGACTTTACCTATAAAAAAGTGTTAATTAAGAAGATCATTAAAAATTCAAAAATAAATTTAGTTTCATGTCCTAAAAAGATTGACAAAGACTCTTGAATAAGATAAATTATACAATGAAGCGGTGATTCCTTATAGAATGTCATATCTTAATGACAAATCAGTAGTATATAAATGTAAATAAATGTGCACGTGAATCCTTAATTTTTCTAATTTTTTTCTCTCGAATCTTAAAAAATTTGATAGTTATTTTTTAAAATGGGTCCTACAACCGCTCAGATGCTTGAAACATGTGTAATAGTAAACCTCATGCATGCATGCTCACTTTATGCATCATGAAATTAATTATCTTATCTTTAAGTAGTGCTTTTAACATTTAAGTGTACGACTTTGATGAATAAAATAGAAATCAAACTGAGTTTTCTAATTGAATTAGTCCTCTTAATTAATTGAAAATCTATTTAACCAATTTCTATAGTCCGAACAAAAAAAATCAAAAGCAAAAATTTCTTTCTTTATTAATCAATAATGCAAAATTTTATCTTTCCATTATAATGCTTGTGTTGTGTATACATATTTGGGCCTAACTTGAGGCTCTGACTTAGCCCATCAGTGTTGGAGTGAAAACCCATCAATTGGGTCCAGCAGCCAATTGCAGTAATTATAGTCTAAGCAAAGAGCATTAGAGTAAAATCCCATTGAGAGAATCTAAACTGAGAAGGTAAAAACAGCTTTCCAGAATTTGAGGTATTCCTTCCTAAAACGCGTTTGCTTGAACAAGTCAATAAACTGAGTTTTGCAAGTACAGCTTAAGAATTTAATTAATTAATTAATTAATTAATTAAAGCCAAGATTTTCTGATCTTAAAAAGAATAATTAAACATTTTAATTAATTAATTAGCCGACTTGTACCTTCTGTCCATATGCCTAAGGTTTAGAATTTATGGTGGCGTACTTTGCGGTTCAACCCACATGCTATGATATGAAATAGATTGATAATTAATACTTAAATTGTAGGTTAATCTTGGTTTTTTGTTAGGTGATGAATTGTAATAAATCTATCTATTTATGTAACTTTTTATCAATTTCTATACATAGCCTAGGATTTGACATAGCGGCTTCTTATTTATCAAGTGTTGGCTTTTTCTTAGACATTAACTCTAAATTAAACCTTAATCTTCCTATTTTGTTGACCCACTTATCTATTCCTTAATAACAATACTATACATAGGTGCACTCTAAATATAATTTTAATGATTTTTTTTATATATAAATCAAGCATTTTTGGTATTCTGCAATTCAATTAAGTTCAATGCCCGACCTTAAGTAAAATATTTGGAGTAACAAAATTATTTTGTAAATATTTTAATCACATTTTGAATATTATTTTTATGTAAGTGTAGGAGACATGTGTAAGAACCTTTATTTTAACGGAGAGAACACAATTCGTTTTCCGAAAAATGAATGATAAAAGAACTTTACGCCTAATGGTCCAAATTAAAAAGGTAATTGACTACACCGTTTTAAAAGAAAAAAAAAATAGATTTCTTTATTAGCTAACTATATTATTGTCCTTGATGCATTATCGTATCAATCATGGTAAATTACTAAATAAGGAATAGTATATGAAAATACAGAGTAAGAAAAAAAAAATTAAGTAGGTAAGAAGTAGAGTATGTATAGCTCTCTCAACAACCAACTTGATAGTTTTGAAATACATATAAATGTATGGAAGATCTTGGGGAAGAAAACGACTGGATATTAGAGCAATAACAATTCCCAAATTGCTTGTTGTTAAGAGCTTAACGAGTCAAGGAATCTCATAAACTACAATTTTGTTGATACATTCAAAGGAATGCCAGTTGGGTATGGATTTTTCTTCTTTTCTGAAAATAAAAATACCTTATTGCATGGAATGGCTCATTTCTTACAACAGCCAAAAATATTATATAATCCATGGAATTCGAACCCAAGAAAGAAGGGGGGAAACCCTAGAGAATTAATGTCTTATTGACTCGTGTTAATATTATTAATTATCGCAAATAAAAAAAAAATCATAAAAATCGTTAAATTTTATAATAGGTTTTTATTTTTTTATTTTTTTATTTGGATACGTATTTCTGTCCTCGGATTAGAATGGTATTTGGATAAATTTTTTCAACAGCAGCCATTTTAAGTTTTGAACACCTGATAAAAATATTTTTAATCACATAAAAAATATTTTAATTATTTAAAATTTTATTTTTTAATGAAAAATTAAGTGGATAAATTCAAAAAAATTAATGGTCAATTCAAATTTTTATTAAAAAAGTAAATTAATAAAAGAAAAGAGATATGATGAATTATATTTACATGTGAATAATTAATAATAACTTAATATATATCTCAGAGCATCCGATTTTTTATTCATTTAACAAAATAATTGTTAAGAAAACAAATAATAAGAATTATTTAATTTTTTATAAAAGTAAATTTATTAACTAAATCAAACCTTAAAATAAATAATAACTTTCTAAATTTATGCAAGCTAAATTAATACTTAAAAAAAAAGTAATATTAGAGGTGTTAAGATAGATAATAATACACGAACATGATTCGCCTAAAATGAAAATTAATTATATTACAATTGAATTTAAATAGATTCGTGTTATAAATGCCTAAGAGTATAATCAGGTCATATTATGGATTGACTCGCGTAATTTATTTAACCTATTTAATTAAAGATAAAATGTTAATTTCATATAATATGTATACTAAGTGAGTTATGGGCGTTGAATTTTTTTAAATCGTATACGATTCATTTTATTTTGATTAAATTTTTTACTTTATATTCAATTCTTTTAATTACATGAACTATGTATATCATATTTATGTCATTAATTTAATTCTAATATCATATTATTTAAATATTTGATACAGTTATTAAATATATCATTTTCATACTCAGTGTAATCACATTAATTGTTGACTGAGTTGGTACGTAACTCTACACATCATCCCGTTTTGACACTATAATACATTGGGAAAGGAAGATGAGAACGCCAAACACGTACACTAGCTATAGAATAGACTAGAATGTAGATGATTACAGAGCGGCTCTTTGTGTGGTCACATCTCACATGGATTCCTCTGCATTTCTCCGGACCCCCAGAAGAACTAGACTGACTATTACACCATTTTCAATTTTTTCATCTTCATTTTTTTTTTTTTTAATTTAGATGATTAATAATATTAATTTTTTTTTATAGATCTTTGATCAGAACTCTGGTAATTATCAGCTTTTCGGCATCTTTCTCTTTTTCATGTCCGAGTGTCCGACCGTATTATTACCAAATGAAACAAACTATCGTCACATCTAATTAGACACTTCTACTTTTTCTAAATAATATTAAATTATAATCCTATTTCGAAGGACCAGATTAACCTTTCTCTAATTGCAAAAATACAGATTTTTCAAAGGAGAAGACCGTCCTTGTAACAATAATGATGCTCTCTATTCACGAAATAGGATATGCTTTTGGACCCACAAGAAAATTTTTTAAAAAATAAAATTTTGTTTTCTTATTTATCTTTTATTTTTCGCCTATAATATATATCCATGTTGAAGCTTCTTGTTCTTGCATTTCGCAATCTCCTGTAAGAGCGAAAAAAAGAATCTGCTCTCTCTCTCTCTCTCCATGAGGAGTGACTGGTCTACGATGCAATCTCACGTGCAACACGCTGTAGCCATATTAGGGTTTTCGATTAAACGTCTTTAAAGTTTAAAGTCATGAGGCTTTTCTCTTCATAGGAAGGAGATAAAAAGGCAACTTTGTTTGGCCTTTTGGTTTCTAGTACTTAGGCTTATTCTGTTTTCTTTTGAGTTTTCTTGAAAGGAAACAAACACTTGCTGCCTATCATCTTCAGTCATTTTAGCTTTCTTTCTTTCTTTCTTTCAAGAATCTTTTTTCTTTTTCTTTTTCTGTCAACTTTTCTTTTAGATATGGCACTTGAAGCTGTTGTGTATCCACAAGACCCATTTGGTTATGTCTACAAAGATTGTTACAGTACTGGAGGAGCTTGGGTTGGCTATCCTAATGGTTTTGATGACTTTCAAGAAAATCAAGATATAGCTTTTCTTGGGATTCTTGACAATGGTAACAATATAGGGCAACAGAGTTTGCAAGCTAATTGGGATTCTTCTTCATCTCCTTCTATGATTCATCGACATGCAAAAGAATGGGATCCTAATTCTTCTTCACCTGAGACTTGCGCCGTTGATCAACCCTTTCCTCCTACTAGTGCTGGAGTTCTCCATCATCCATCATTGGAAACACCGGCAGCCACCACTGGCCGGCGAAAGCGAAGACGAACTAAGAGCACTAAAAACAAAGAGGAAATTGAGAACCAGAGAATGACTCACATTGCCGTTGAACGCAACCGGAGGAAGCAGATGAATGAGTATCTTGCCGTGCTTAGGTCTCTTATGCCACCTTCTTATGTTCAAAGGGTAACTTCCTATTCCTCTGTTTTTCGTCCTCCAGTTACAAAGTTTCGAGTTAGACCCAGTTGCAGTAAATTTAGATTTTTTTTTTGAATTAAAAATATTAATTAGCTTCCATGGCTGCAGGGTGACCAAGCATCTATAATTGGAGGAGCCATTAATTTTGTGAAGGAGCTAGAGCAGCTGTTACAGACAATGGAGGCCCACAAAAAGAGCAAGCAACAACAAACGGCTGCTGCTGACGTCAATGCTTTATCTTCACCATTTGCAGAGTTCTTCACCTTCCCACAGTACTCAACAAGAGCAAGTCCGGCCACGGCGGAGGAATCAGTGGCGGATCAAAATCAATGGGCGGCTGCAGTTGCAGACATAGAAGTTACTATGGTGGAAAGCCATGCCAATCTTAAAATACTTTCGAAGAAAAGACCTAGACAGCTCTTGAAGATGGTGGCAGGCTTACAGGGCCTTAGACTCAGTGTTCTTCACCTCAATGTCACTGCTGTTGATCAATTGGTGCTCTATTCAGTTAGTGTTAAGGTAAGTTGATATAGTCAAATCAATCAATTTCTTTTTATTATTATTTTTTCTCCCGTTTTAATTTCTTATCAAATTGCCTTTTTCTATTTCTTTTTGGGAAACATTTTCCATGTTCATATTTAATAATCGATCGGGTTTTAATTAATATATAATTAATTTCTCATTGAACTAATTTCTATTTATCTAAATTTAATCATATTGAAACAGGTTGAGGAAGGATGCCATCTGAACACTGTGGATGAAATCGCAGCTGCTGTTAATCAAATGCTACACACATTTCATGAAGAAGAGTCTGCTTTCAGCTGAAATTTTCAATTCTAAAACCCTAATTTGGTTTTCTTTTGTAACTGGGGTTGTTTAATTACCTCTCATAATGAATTTAAGCTTTTCCCCCCTTAATTCTTTGTTTTTGCTGCCTTAATTAGTCTTCTTCTACAATTAATTTTGTGCAGAACCCCTTTTTTTTTTTCTTTTTGCATTACTTAAAGTCATGGAGGTTGTGTCACTGTGTTGTTTGGTATAGGCATGGTGTAATAAAAATGCCTGACATAAATTAACTTTAGAAGAACGTAAGACAAAAACATAAACAACTTCAATTAAATGATATTATTTTATTATATTGTATATAAAATAAGATGAGTAAGAAGCCAAGTACCGTCAAGGAATCTCTTTAAGCTATGAAATTCTTCATGTCTTGAAATTAGAGAAGAATGTCCATTAGCGCTTGGAGCATCTCCTAATTCCATGATTAATCGAATCAATTCCTAATTAATCCATCTAATTATAAGTCATTTGTCTCCTTCATCAAAATTTGTGTATTAATTATACGTTTTGCCTTTCATATTAATTAATTACTCATTTTTTTATCTAGATTTATTGATAAATTAATAAGCTTTCAAATGCAGCATGTAAGCATATATAATAGAATCCTTTGCCATGCAATTTGATATAATATCATATGTACGTAGGAAACACATAAGTTTAGATTCAACCATTGAAATGATTTGAATGGGCCTTGAGGGCCCATTTACCTGTATCAATTTATGTAATAATTATTATTTTCTATTTATTTTTTTTAATACCAGTATGTATTTTGTATAATGCCAAAAATTGTCTGCGGGTAAGATTTCCGAAATGAAAAAAAAATAAATAAAGAAGAAGCAGAAGCTGAAAAAAAAGGAGAAGAAGAAGAAGAAAAGTACAACCTTTTTATTCCTTCTTTAGTTCAATTATGCACTTACTGGAATACAAAATCTGCCAACTGTATGCAATGTAATTTAGGTACAAGACAACCTTGCAAACCTTCAATTAGTTGAAACAGAAATCTGCAGTCAACATAAAATTCAAATTTTAAGTTTCATAACTTAAAAGTAAATTTTTAGTTTTTTGGTGTTTTGTACTAAAGACTAAAGAGTTTTAAAATTCAATCTAAAAGGTAAAAGAGTTAAAATTGAGGGTTAAAAGCGAATTTCAAATACTTCTTAATTTGACTTAAATTGCTATTTAGCTCACCTAATTACTCAAATCTCAATGCTTTTTTATCAACTTGCTACCATTAAAATTAAAAGGGAGAAATAGAGAAGAAATAAAGTAGGTTTTAGAAAATTGTAAACAATAATTATCACTGTGCTTAGTACAAATAAAAGTAAAATTTGAAAAAAAAAATAATTAATACTCCTTATCAAACAAGTAATTAATAGTTTACTGGCTGAATCATAAGTGGATATCAATATCAATATCAATCATTGGCTCACTTAAGTTTTTCTTTTTAAAAGCGAAAGCAGCTTTTATATTTTATTAATTAGCAATAATGACAAATTAACCTTGATTATTATGGATAAGATAAGAGCATAAACACTCCCTTTTTGAATGCTGCTTCCTGGAAGATTCAAAAAGCTCCTTTAACTTCGTCGCTAGCTGCTATTTTGCGTGCTCCTTTCTTGAAAATGTGTCTTCAGATTTCTAAAAATTTCGTTAACTTATTCTTCTTTTAACAATAATGGGAGAGTGAGGTTAACTTTTTTATCTATGAGATATTTGAAATAAAGTGACGGGAGTGTCACATTTCTTATCATAGAATTCCACGGTCTTGCTTTTGTTAGATGAACAGAGCTTTTTGATGATTACCTACACACAACATTATGTATATTCCTCACTCTCTTTCTCTTTGTCTCCCCTGTAATCACATTCACACATGCTAACAAACCATCCACCAAATATGCTTCTCTTGTCCTCTTGGAAAAGAAATGTATAGTAAAAAGAAAGCCATCATGTCCCTTGCTTGCTTTATATATGGAGAATGCTGCCAAATCGTATCTATATGTATTTCTATATATTACTAATTACTTGGAACACACATATACATAATTCCTGCTCAAAATCATATTAGTTCTAGAATTTTATATTAGAATTTGTGTTTCTTTTTTTATAACTAGAAGTTGTAATCTCCTCGGGGTCCGTAGAACGTAAATGTTTTTTCTCTTCTAGTAAGATGCGTTTTACGAATTGAGTCCGCTTATCACTCCAACCAATATATTATTGGTATTATTTTAATGAAATATTTCTAATTGTATCAGCATTAATTATGGAAATAAGAATTGAAACTCACCCTCGTATATAGAATACACAAATTCATTTTTTTGATATATGAATTGAATTCTCTAATTCTAGCAAAACTAATCTTATTTTTTAATAGAATGAGATGATTGAGTAGATGGTTTAAGAAACTTGGCATGTAATATTGTTTTACGTTAAATAAAAAATAAATAGTCTTTCTGTTCAAGATTTCGTGATCATGATATAGCTGAAAAAAAAGTTTTAATTAATTAGTTGGTAGACAAAAAGGAAATAACTGTAGTTTTTCTTATAGAAGAATGATGATGAGCATGTCCTGACATAGAATCTTAATGATGTAGCTTGTTAGAATTCTATTATATTCGAGATGGTAATAATCTGGGTCATGGCTGGGTCCCTATCAAGGAAGATGACAGAATCTCTAATCCTATTACTGTGGAGAAACAGTCTGTGAAAAGAGTCTGACTTATTAACAGCAGCAGAAAAATTGCAGCGTTCTTCTTCAAATTAAGAAATGATTATTTTGACGAACTTTCTTAAAAAAGACTCCTCTTGCTTCTGCTTCATAGTTTTGACACAACATGCATAGAGAAATATTTATCAGTGAATTTCAGTATGTGAATGAATCATACATGCACACAGTAATTGCTTTTTATCTTATATATATCCTATCCATATAAATTCGTACACCAAATATCCCTTGGATTTCTTTTGTTCCCCTTTCAGGGAAAAAATGCAAAGGCTTTCGATTGATGCATTCTTTAGCTTTTGTGGGTCTCGCACCCAATGTTATTGCACTATTATTAATAATAACAGCAAGGCACACTTGAATTTAACGGACAATTTCATTGCATTCACAAATTATATGGTTTGTTATGCAATATCAACCGTTTTAATAGAATTTATTGTTCTAATTGTTAGCTTGTTAACTGTTTATACGACAAAATATCCGGTAAAAATAATTGTTTAATTTAAAATGTATATTACTGAAACTAAAAGTTAATTGAAAAGTTGTTACCGAAGAGTCAGGAGCTTTAAAATGACTGTGAAAACACACTTATGGAAACTTTGAAATGAAATTAGTCTTTTATCAAAAAAAAATTTGAAGTATGGGATACTTTTCAGAATACTAATAAAATTAAATTTAGTTGGATAGAGACAATGGATTGAGCAAGTTTCGTAAAGGAAATAATTAAGAATCATTGTGGACGTGAAAACAATACTAGCCGCACGAAGACGTACGATTATTCCACATCATTTTGGCTATTTTGTTTTGTTAATTATAGCTGAGATTATTACCATAATCATAAATTAAAATCAAACAATCATGTTTATGAAAATACAACAGTAGACAAAACAGAATCCACCCAAAGAAGAAAGAAAGAACTAACAAAGACCAAAACGTCCTTTGTTTACAGAGTTCATTAATAATTAGAAATTAGGGAACCATCAAACAGCAGACAAATTGTCAAACTTTTATTTATTTATTTATTTATATAAGAGGGACCTAAATATAATACTATAAACTTACACTAAATAGATAACTAAATTTACTTTGTGGGTGCATAATTATAATGTTTTAGTAAATTATTTACAAGTTATCCATTTAGTTTTTGTTCTTTAAATATGAACTTGTTAAATGACTATTAGCATGTTTATCCTTTTTCTTCTATTACTTTTGTGAGCATAAAAAAAAAAAAAAAAAACTATGACTTGCTCCAGGAAGAAGGAGACATGTGAAAGAAAGAATGGTCAATTCTTTTCGAAATTCAAATCTAGTACAGATAATAGTCATGTTAAACAATCAAAATCGTGTACTTAAGAAATATTAATTCTGCGATAATTATGATTAGTTCAGATTGAAGGTAGGATTTCCCCAGATCCCTTTTATCTATGCATATGCATCGTAATAAAGAAACCTCTATGCACAAGCAGTCTATCTAAATCGTATCTCCAGCATATTCCAATTGTATTTTCTTTGCAATAAGTATTCAAGATTCTTTTTTACACATATTTTATGGGATTTCCTTTGTCTGGTTACATATATATTATAATATAATACTGTATATGATATACTACTTAATTCCAAATTATTTAATTGATATTTCATGTACTGTAATTAGGAAAAAAAAAAAAAAAAAAAAAAAAAAAAAAAAAAAAGGTATGAACAGAAATAGATATGAGCCTGTCGCATAGTGTAGGTTCTATTGCTCATACAGTTAAAAATTCAAAGCATAAAAATTTATTAAATTCTTCGCGAAATGTAAAATTATTTTGCAAATATTCAATAAATTTTATTTATTAAAATTACTTTTCAAAGCGGTTAAGATTAAAATATAGCGGATTACAGTGAATTTTGATAAATAAATTTTGTAGCACTTTCAATTTTAAAAATAATAATTTTTAAAATTTTTGATTTTTATATATAAAGTAAGATTTGATATATAGTTAATATAACTTTTAGAATAATAATTTACATATATTTTTTTAATATCTAATAAGTATTTAATCAATCCGATTTTATAACCTGATGTTTCCAATGGGTAAAATAAAGTGTTTAACAATTTTAATTTTATAGTTAAAACTGTTAAAGTAAAAATTGAGTGTACCATAAAATATTCTTATAAAAAATTCATGTGCAAATTTATATATTGAGCCTTTAAAATATCTATAATGAGATTTTAGACCATGAAAATATTTATTTTTAAGCACATGAAATTGATTGTAGTCATGCTGATATTTTATCAAAAATGATAAATTTTATAAATAAAATTTCTAAAAATAGCATAGAGTTTTGATGTAATAGTATCATAAAATGAAATATA